TTTTTTTTTTTTTTTTTTTTTTTTGCGGATACTGGTTACGTCCACACGTGTCCGCACATTTTTGTGTCCGTATCCGCAAATTTTACGAAAACGGATACGTGTGAAAAAATAATTTGAGGATACAAAAATTTCCGGATACGTGTGTACGGGGCCTAATACTTTGTTTATCACTGAATAGCTCTTACTTGGTTCATCATCCTGGATGGTAATAAGTTCACATTTGTCTCCTGACGTAAACGTCGTGGGGACATAAGATTCAATGATGACTGAGAAATTTTCATTGTTTTCTTTGTACTCGTCGTCAACCAGATCGACACTTAACGTCATGTACACTTGACCTGGAGGGAAGGTTCTGTTGACTTGGTTTTGTGGCTTGTAGTCTGATTTATCAAATGCTGTGCCGTCTTTTGTACTAAACCTGTTACACCAAAAATATAGCTTTACGAGTCTTTAAAGTTTTACAAGTATTTCAAAATCTTTAGAAGTAGAGGTCATTCAAGTGCAGATAGAAATGAGCGGTAATCAGTGTCTTACCAGATAGGAGAAGTTATGTTCAAGACACCTTCTCTTTTCAAAGTAAAATAGACGGTTTTGTTACCCTCGCTGACCACAATGCTCTGGTTAGTACATCTGATGAAAGCTACGAAGTGATACGAAAGAAAAGATAAAAACGCACGGATGAGTTTTGTTGATATTCTAGTGGCAGATCTAAGGAGAAAGGAAATGGATTCGGAAAGTGGCGGATCTAAGGAGAAAGGAAATGGATTCGGAGAAGTGCCACCGTTCATCAGAGGTACAGTGAAACAGATTTTCCCGAAGAAACGAAGAAAACAAATCAAAAATTAAGAATGGCGGCAATTTCGTTCGAGAGAATTTAGAACTTTAAAACCAGCGACAGATATTGTTTATTGTTTAAGCTTTCTTTTTTGGGTACAAATTTCAACTTTCCACTCATGCAAGGCGCTCATACTTACTGTCATCATTGATAATAGTAAAGTCGGTACCAGGACATATCATATGTACCCTGTCATCTGATGACGACACAGACAAGCTAAACGTCTCGTCAGGTTCCAGGACGTTATCATTCACCAACACCACACTTTCTTTTATGCTGGACTGGTTGGGTGCAAATGTTAAGATTTTATCAATAGCAATGTAGTCTTTACCAGATTGAGCGGTGCCATTAAGCGTACGAATTCTGAAATACAAACATTCACAGTCAAAATTCTTCATGGTAATTCCCAGTGTCCGTCTCTAAATCTACTTTCGCTAAATTGAGGGGTCTGGAAAAACAAATGAAATATTTTCTTTAAATATGAAGTTGAAAAAAACAATGAAACCTTCTCAAGTTTACCATGGATGCGAGGCTAACATGGAAGCACAAAAAAAAAAGTTTAATCTTTGGAATTAGTTGCGTAGCCTCGTATTCAAGATAATTTTGAGAAGGATCCATTAGCACTACTTTGATCGCATGGTATTCACATAAATATGTGTTATGAGAGAGAAAAT